GGAGTCACCCGGTCATAATAGTAGAGAGGTCGATTTTACGACCAGTTGTTAGGGTTCAATGGAGACGTAAAGCTTCATCCAGACTCTCCCATTAACTTTTGGGGACAGTGGATGAACACGGAACATAAGAAAAGATACAGTTAACATAGGGCAGCCTGATCGAATGCTAGTAAAGTGACCTGGACATAAAGGTGTACCGATCAGCGATCTATTCCGCTGCGAGTATACTTGTAAACTTTAGAATCTTAACCCTTTCAGGACCAAGCGAAACATGCTACCCAAAGAATTTCTCCACTCATAAGAAAATTGTGTGAATCAGTTTAATTTTTTCTGTTTTTTACAATGTGCTCCATCTTTACTTAGGTATTTTTATCATACAATTTTAGAAATAAGAACCTTCACCAAAACAAGAAAAATTAAAAAAAAAAACTTGAATAAAACTACTTAAAAAAATGCATTATATAAAAATAGTAGTTTTTAAGAATAAAATAAATTACATAAACATAAATTTTAAGAAAAATATGTATAGATATTTTCAGAAAACATTCTTTGGAGGATCTAGCAATTTTTAGAAAAAACTTGTTTCAAAGAAAAAAAATAAATTATTTCCTAGAAGAAAAAATGTTACCAAAAACCAAACATAAAAAATTTCATAGAAAAAAAATTTAAGAAATTGAATTTTAAAGTCATTTTTTTCTTTTATCTAGAAAAAATTATTATATAAAAAATAATACACTTTTAAGAATAAAAGCAATTACATAAACATAATTTTTTATAAAAATATAGAGAAATTTTTAGAAACCATTTTTTGGAAAATGTATTAATTGTTGTTTGATAGAAAAAAAATTTAAAAAAGTATTTCCTAGAAGAAATAATTTTATCCAAAACCAAACATAAAAAATGTTTATAGAAAACAAATGTTTGAAGAAATCGAATTGTAAAAAATAATTTTTATTTTTTCTAGAAAAAAATGTATTATATAAAAAGTAACTAATACAATTTTAAGAGTAAAATAAATTACATAAACAAAAATTTATGGAAGCATATACATAGAAACATTTTTAGAAAACATTTTTGGAGGAGTTTGCATTTTTTAGAGAAAATTTGTTTTAAAGAAAAAAAGTTTAAAAAGTATTTCCTAGAAAAAATAATTTTACCAAAAGCCAAACATACAAAAGTTTATAGAAAAAATTGTTTAAGAAATTTAATTATAAAATCATTTTTAACTTATATCTCAGGAAAAATGATATGTTTTTTATCGGAGAGTTTGCTGTGGGCCGGTGCTGGAAACTGCAAAACTAGAAGAAGTGCTTTCCATAAAATTGTTGACAGTTCAGTAACTATTTTTAAAATACTTCCTTGTTTCTAGCGCATTTCCCATTTCAGCAAATTTTTTTAAAGTATTTGTAAGTCTCAAAATGTTATCAAAATTGCCCACTGTGGCTCGTTCATTCACCCATTCATTCTTTGCTGTGCGCCAACGACAACGACATTGGCGACTACGACGACGACGTTTTCTAATTGCGTGACTATGCAAAATATTTCGCCAACTCTAATTGCATTCCAACAAAGATTCGTACACACACAAACGCTTGCAGATACATGCATTTAAATAAACTTATTTACAATACTGCCGGTATGCAGCACAAATGAATCGAAAGTAGTGTGGTGGCCCTTTAACTGCGAACCTGCGAACAACTATGTAAAGCGGTAAGCTGAGTTGTGTCACTGGCATGGCATTGCCTGATAAAGCCGATGTACGGACAGACAAAAATGCCATCAAAGTTGGCATACAAATTGCCGTAAAATAGTACACGAATTCCAATTGTTGTGACTTCCGTGCGACAAAGCCCAAGGAAGAAGCGGTGTGGTGAGGCGCTGACATGCTTTATGGTGCCTTAAATGTGGTTGGGTTTTAAGTGCTTATCGCGCAGGCTCAACAAAGCTGTGGCTTTTCTTTGATGTGATGTGATGTGATGTGAGCGCGTATGAGATTTGAAGTACATAGTTAATTAGCGCTAAAATGCGCGCGACGTGTCGTCATAACTGATTAAGCGAAAATGTGGTTTGGTTGAGCCTAAAATTATGCACATAAATCGATATGAGATATCTTCTGTAAGCTCTTCGGATTTAATTGCCTATGAAATAACTAAGTGAGAAAGGCAGCTGCTTGATGGCGTTAAACTAAGCAATCAACGTTTGCTGCCGCATGACCTTTTGACCTACAATCTGACGAGAAAAATGTGCATAGAATAAGAAACTGAACATTCTCTTTTTTCACTACACACATGCATACATACATATTTCTTAATTTATGTAGAGCGCTTGAAGTAAGCTGTTTTTCTTGGCAGGTGGTCGACGCTTTCGTTTGCGTCTCGCGCACTTTCTGCTTTGTAGCCATTCTTGTGCCAGCACGGCTTCCTTAAATGTAGTATGTAAGTATGTCTGTAGTCTCAAGCGCCTTGCAGCGCCGTTCGCATGTTCAAGTGCACTTTGAAACGCCTATAATTATGCGACGACCATGCAGATGCATATATCATATGCCACACATTTGCACCGCCGACCTCCGTGTGTGTATGTGTGTGTGTGTGTGTGTGTGTGTTTGCGCGTGTTTGCATATGCTTATGTATGCTTTTAGGCGCTTAAACACATTGCTTGCCATTTTGATTGCGCCGCCGTCCGTGGCAGTTGCCGTTACCATATTTTGTCATGTTTATTTTTAATTGATAAAAGTTTTACGGCGCGCTTAGCGCTCAAGACGTGAAAAATTAAAAAAAAAGTAAAATTAATTACAGCTGCAAGCACGAAACGCGCGCACACAGTACAACACCATACAATTTATACAAACAGCTGAACGTTGCACACTGGGACAGGAGACCCTCATAATTGCCATCAAACACTAAAACTAAAGGTTTTAGATTTTCTAAAGTTGATCGAATGTTTTCCTAGACATAGCCACTATTACAAAAAAAAAAAAAACAAATTTGAGAAAGAACTTATTTGTATCAATTAAAAATCGTTAAAAATTATTTTTATATAGGAAAAAAAATACCAAAAATCAATGGTAAGACCTACGTAGCTACTTCAAGGTTGCACCTCATTATATTAAAATTTAGTTGGCTCCAGAATTGCAATATCAAAATCTTTCAAAGAAATCTAAGGTAAAAACTTGAAATTTTTATCAAAATTTGTTGAATAGTTTTTAAATATTGTGCAAAGCCTAAAACTTGAATTTATATAGTTTTTGTCAAAGAGTATATTATATTTTTATAAAAAAACTCTGAAATTAAAAAATAACTATAAATAAATAAATTGTCAAAACTTGACTTGATTTGTGGTGCACTTATCATTTTGACACGAGGTGTATATGTTATAAAAGTTTATTATTGAAGATATGTGAAAGCATTATCATCTTCACCACTGTCATCGTCATCAACTGTTGCGTTATCATCTTACTTAATAGTGCTACCACTGTTTTTTTTTTTACTGGTAATTACCGGATTAGAGCTCAGTTAAAAATATCCCTATTAGGTTTTTCTAGGTTACAGTTTCTCGGGTTATGCTAAAGCAGGGCAATTCTGGCAACTGCCTTTCAACTCACCAGTCTTTCGAAAGGAAAAAGTTTTCCGTAAGACAATTGTCAATTCTGGCAACTATCTAGAAAGCTCTTTACTGTCTTTCGAAAGACTAAATGAAAGATCTGCCAAAGAGGAGGTCTTAGCGTTATTCTGTTTGTCTTTAAGCAATAAGTTTATTTAAAAATTAAATAAAATTAAAAATATTTATATGCATATTTTGCTTTTTAAAATAATAAAAACTAACAATTAAAAAAAATAATTAAAAGTAAAGAAAAAACCAAAATAGGAAAAAGATTCTTAAAAAAAATATAACATTAAAAGAGAAAAATAAAATTTAAAACACTTTTATTAAATACTAAAATAGAAAAAATTAATTAAAAATGAAAAAAGTAGATAAAAAGAAAACAAGTTCATAAAAATACATAACTTTTTTTTCTTTTTAAAGGAAAATCAGAAAACGAAAAGGAAACTATAAATATATATTTTGCTTTTTAAAACAATCAAGCCTATAGATTAAAAGGAAATTGAAAAATAAACAAAAACTAAAAAAATACATATGTACAAACTTTCCAAAAAATTAAGCAAATATAAAAAAATATATATTTTTGCGTTTCAAACCATAAAATTAAAAAAGAAACTAAGTTTCTAAGAATCAAATGAGAATTAAAAAAGAAAACAAAAAATTAAATAGGAAAAATAATAAAAAAGCAGCTCCCCGAGTACTCGAATACGTATCTCTCGAGTAGGGCACCAGTTTTCGGCTGTAGGAGCTGCGCAAGCAAAGTGGAATATGTACAAGTGCATTATGGCAAAAGAGCTTTTCACCACGAGTGGTGGATGAGTGTGCTTCTTTCTAAGACTTTTTGTGCTAGAATAACAATTGTTAAAAAGTTTTTAAAAGTCTTTCGAACTATCTTGCCATCCGTATTTCATTTGCCTTAGCAAAGACTTTTTACTATCTTAGCCAGAATGGAATTGTAAGTCCTTGTTTCTTTCTCCATGAATTCGTGCTCAAAAAAAATAAAAACTAAAATTAAAGAATTTAGACGTTAAAACTTTTTTAAGAGTCGAGAGTGAAAAAATTTTGATTTTTTTTTGGCAGTTTTTGATGGTATCTGGCCCATTGTGCGTCGCACGTAAGCACTTTTGTTGTTAATGACACACGTATTATAGCTACGTGGCTATTGTGTGACGGCGGCAACGGGTGTAGGACTTGAAATGACGTAATTTTATTTTTACCTCTATTTCATTATATTATCCTTCATATTTTTTTTTTTATGATTTCACTATGTCATTGCAAACATAAATAAAACTTTGTAGGCTCACATATATGTACATACATACATACAAGTACATACGCGTATTAGCTAAATTTCATAAATAGAAAAAAAATTTTAATTTATTAAATTTAATTGCACTTACCTCGGCCTTGCCTTTAATAATACACATCTTGACGTCATCCTCGGTAGATTGCCACACCAAGCGCTGCTGTTCCGTTAGATCGTGTATGCTCAGATTGAACACGATATTTCTGGAACGAAATAGTAGAAAAAACAAACGTTAGTATCTCATAATAAAAATGTCCCAATTTTTTAATCTAATGAATGCAGAAATGTCGAGCAAAACCGATTGTGGTAATATTCGTGCTGTAGACGCTATTTGTACATTTAGCGGTGCACTAGTTGGTGAAACGCACTTTATTAAAAATCATGTCATCAAGGAACGTAGAGAAAAGCTGAGCTCTCAGCTCTTACTGGCTTTACTTACTAGATGCGAAAAAGAATTATTCGACAAATCAGCCTGAAGTACCTCCATTGCAACTGAGGTGTAGAGGCCTGCCGCATAGTGGAAAATCCCCTTATAAGCAAAAAGGCAAAAAGTAGCAAGCGTGCTCCGATTTCGCTAATATATGCCACATTGCTTAGCAATGAAGAAATATGAAAAGTGGCATAGCTTGAAAACTGCCACGCCCACTACACTAGACGGCGGAAATAGTAAATGCTAACGGCTTTTAATAAAATTTGAATAGCATTTGAGCTTCATTCATAAATACAAAATTTCACAGCTTTTCTTTTTTGAGACTGTAAAGCAGAAAACAAAAATTAGCCAAAATTTCATTATATTTGATGATTGGGCCCACATTTTTTGCGAGTTGTAGACGTTATAGCGATATAATCTTTACAATATTTTATATTTGGGGTTTTTTTTTAACAAAAGTGACAGTAAAACTAAATTATATCGAAATCAGATGAAATTTAATGTTTCCACCCAGTAGAGTAGAGGGCGTGGCAATTAACCCATCTTTGCCATACTTTATAATTCCCTATTCGTAAGCAAAATTAGAGCACAAGTCACATTTCAGTAAAATCAGGGCAGGTTAACTATTCTTTCCATCTGCCTCCATATAGTCGAAACAGTGTGCGGCGCCAAAAGGTTCTTATATCCTCTATAAAATACTTGGAAATGTATGAAATATATATGTATGTATATTATCAACGATGAAATGACTAGGAAAAATTAAATGCAAACCTTTTGAAGGGGCAATCCTTCCATTCAACCACTAATCTCGCGCTCTGGCTCCAAAGTTAGGAGATGGGCCTTAAAAGACATTTACCGAGGACACCGCCTTCCAGCCCAATTACCCTGCGAAAGCCCTGTGTATTACCAAAAAAAATATCAAGCTTGTAAGATAATACTAATACTAACGATTTTTTATTGGTCCCCCTTTTGCATTCTTCGGGGTTTTTGTGGATTTTTGGCGGACCTAGTTGTCATGCGATGACAAAATGGTTAAATGAACAATTGGTTATTATTACTGGGAATATTCTGCAGATAAACAGATAGAAAAATATTGACTTAGGAATCCTATACCATTTCTACGAAAAGTTGTTTTTTCCCAATATAAAATACATGGAAAACTTTGGGCGCTTTGAGCGACCTCTAAATATTTTTTGATTTCAAAATAAAAAAATAGGGGTATATTTTTTTCGGTATAGAACAATCCTAGAGGGTGAGAGCATAAAAATTCCGACTTTACTTTTTCACATGCTTTTTTTTTGGACCACCCTAATGTACATACATACGTATATCCAGCTGATTTCGAATACGGGGACGAATACGAGGAAACAGAGGATACGAAGACGAATACAAATAGCAATACGAAGAAGAGAACGGATACGAAGATGATTTTGATTCGAAAGCAAAGACAGCACTGAAACGAAGACGAACGCAAATGCGAGGATGCAAACGGGGGTGAGTACAAAGACGACGAAGAAGATAAGTACGAAGAAGAATACAACGACGAATACGAAAGTGGAATACGCATACGCTCCGAGGACCAATACGAAGGCAGCGACTAAAACGAATACGAAGATAAATACGAAAACTAATCCGAACATAAATGCGCATATGTAAAGGATCTAAAGACAACACGTATACGAAGCCGAAAACAATGACGAAGTCGAAGATGAATAAGAAGAAGAATATGACGACGAATACGAAGTGGAATACCAACAACCAAAACGTAGACTAAAAGATCTTCTGTACCCTTAAAAACGGCCAAATTTGGACGCTAACTGACACTCTCTGTATATATAAATATACATACGACTATCTTTGGTACAACGCCAAAAAAGTATAGCGAGAGATAAGGCAGCAGACAGTTTAGCCAAAGAAGCAATGGTCACAATCTCAACCCGTACTTAGGCTTTGTTTACGATACGTCCAAAGCGATAGTGGAAAAGTAATGGAAGAGGAATGAGAAATTGTCACTGATGATGGTGCATTACAGGACTTCAGCTCTAGGCAAAGTGCTTATTGAGGAAGTCTAGTATAACATGAAGATGTGCAAGCATTTAATTAAACCACCCTAAGGAGAAAATTATGATTTTTACCGCCATTCTTCCAGGGCGCTGTCATCCGCATAAACCAAAAATATGTATGGCGGAATCTTCGCCATAGCTTCTGTATATACATACGTATATCGACGGTTGATTGCAAGATCGACCTGTCTGGGCAGCCGGTTTGAAAATGCCCTGTTTCGAAAAACTTTTCAAGAGCGCCCTACTTCAGAATTTGGTTGAAGAATGCCCTATTTCATAATTTTTCCCGTCGAAATATAGTTACAAAAAATTTTTAACAGAGTAGTAAGATGAAATAATATAATATAAAAAGGAGGAATTTATATCACTGTGTACAATTTTTAGCTTCTCAAAAATCTAAAAAAGAGGGTTGGTATTTTTCCGATATAAGTAATGCGGCTCAAATATATTTATTATCGTTTATCAAAATATGGGCGTTTTCCGCCACTTCGACAAAATTGTACGCTGTACATAAATAAAAGCCAGGAAAACGCTTTCCATAAGCAACTTTACGAATAAATAATTCATTGAGTAACGCCTTAAGTATTTACAAGTATATAAACAGTGCTTTGTATATACATACATACATACATTTATACTCGTACGAGTGCATACAGATTTACATTTCAATAGTTATTTATGGCAGTTAGATCTACTCGTAAACTTTTCCCGCGCACGCATACTTTAGCATAAATTTGTGTACAAAGAAATCGGCGCTATCGAAAGCACTCGGATTTCAAATGCACACCTACATACTTACAATAAACTAACAAATGCGAAAACATACATACGCCATTGCAAATACCGGAAGTTGATCTATGTGCTGCCAAAATTTGTTGAGCTGTGGCATCCGGCGTCAGGCAACTGTCGTTGCGTCAGCATAGCCTGCCTGCATAAACAAACGCTGCAAAGCTGCAACGGTAATACATTCATCAAAACGTTTGCAATTGCACTCAGCAGGCAGGGCAAGCCAAGCCAAACTGCATCGAACCAAGCCGATCCAAACAATCAGCCTGCGTTGCAGCATCAGACCACCTGCCATGCGGCCACACCCTTTTTTTTTGACTATTGCGCTGTTACCACTATTGCTTGCTTGTTGTTGTTGTTGTGTTAGTATAAACTTATTCGTTGGATATTTTCGCATGCATGCGCGCCAACAATTTCCATTCGCATTCGAAATTCGCATTCATATCTACGATTATTTTTGCCCTCCCGCCAAGTGTTCGCTGTGTGAACCCATACGCATACATACATACATACATCAACAGATACAAACATATGTACTGCCATGCATATGTGTAAATCTTTTGGCGTTATTGAAATAAATTTTTCGTTTTGCTCACCAAATATTTTGGCGTATTTTCCCGTATGCAACATTGCTGCCGGATAGGTACCATAGATACTTCAGATAAACATATGCACATATAAATATATGCACATATATGCATGTATGTATGTGTGGAGGTTACAGGGTAGTTGCAGCGCTGTTGACGGAAGTTTTGATAAGCTCAGTTCATTGGTTTTTCGACATGACAGATTTTACTTTCATCATTTCCTTTTTTCGAGGCTTTACGAAATATTTCAGTCGATCGATCGACTCTGCTGCTGTGCGTCAATTGAGTATGCACTCATAGTGGTTTTTGTTTTATAGATTTGTTGATGTAGTGTTGGTGTTGTTTTTTTTTGTTTTGTGATTATTATTATTTTTTTTTTGTCACAAGTTTTTGAGATGAATATGACGCTTTCGCAAGTTTTAATGCATCCATATATGTGATGTTGAGCTGTTCAATTTGCATACTTCACAAAAGTTATTTGCACTTCAAGTTATTCGCAGATAACTTCTAAATAAGTAACTATTACAGTTGAGTGATTGGAGAGGAATAGGTGGATTTTGAGCCTAAAGGAATATGGAGGATTACCTACATTTGTGAAATTTGTCCGCCCCAAAAACTGGTTATGTATGTCTATGTGGTAATAAAGCATAACTCCATTCTTTAAAAAAATGTTTCTTTGAGCGATGGAAGGTATACGTATTTCAAAGAAAAATCTGGAATCCGTTAGTGGTAAAAAATATATGTATATTTATATCGAAAATCTCATTGCCAACTTTGTGGTTGGTGGTGCATTATTCTTTTGTTAACACATGGATGTATAAATCATTATTCTTATCGATAAAATTTCGACAAACATTTTATCGATGCATTTATCTACAATGTGATCGATAATTCTTTTGATGTATTCATCATTAATCCGACCTATGTATTAATCTATGTACTTATCGATATATTAATCGATAATTTTATCAATATATTAATCGATAATTTTATCAATATATTAATCATTAATATTATCGATTTATGTACCTAATAATATCATTATCGATATATTTTTCCAGCTTTTATGGAAGGTGGCAGCAATCATTATCTGTCAAATTTGAGCTAGTGAACGGATGTCTCAGAAGTAAGTGTAAATTTCTCATCAAAAGTAAGAATCTAAGCGAACTCAGACATAAACTTTTCACTACAGAGAAGTACCAAAGACAAACCTCAGATCCACACATACTTGAAATATGTTTTTACGACAAAAAAAACCTGGGAATTGGATTTTTTCCACTAGATCTTATCTTTTTAATAAATTTATGATTGTAGTTCTGTTGATCTATTGTTGATTA